GGGGGAGACCCTCCCTAGGATCAGTGCCCCCCATGCAGCTCTCCCCAAGCGGCGGGGGGAGGGGGCTCCAGGAATGCAGGACTACAACTCCCATCAGCCGCTGCCAGCATAGACCCTTCCCCCCCCACAGGAGCTGTGGGTCCAGTACATCTTCAACTGCAGTCAAACTGGGAAGAAACGAAATGCTCGTTTATCTTGTTCTGTTATTGTGCCTGGGACCTTCCTTCCTTGGGATCTGCCTAAAGAGAACAGGAAATACGTATTTAAATAAACATTTAAACCAGTCAGTCAATCAATCTAGGCCAAAGAATAGCTGGCAGGTCTAGCCTAGCCTCCCACCCTCAACCCGGTGCAATCTAGCAAGACCCATCTATTGTCTTGTCTTTAATGTCTCTTCAGATTCGGTCCCAAACAACACTTTGTTTAAAAGAACGATGCAGGTTGGGGGGAGAAGAATGCAAATGGGAAGCAACACCAAATGCCTGTAGAAATCCCATGTCAAGAGTTGCCAGGTGGATTCCATGGAGAAATTGGAGGTTTGCGCGGCTGGTTTGCCCTTCCTTTGTTCCAACCCCAGATTAGCTGGCAAAGGGCGCAGGGGTTGAAGAAGTTCCAGGATCTTGAGCAGGTTTGACTCGCCTGCTTTGCTGTCAACAGCTGGAGCTGAAGAAGAGCAGTATGTACATATTTATAGCAAGCATATCCCTAACATGGGATCTTTCTTTGGAGATGTGCTCCCTCTCATTAAAGCTGTGATTTCCACCTTGTACAGGACAGCAAGCCAGACAAGGAAAGCCTGATGAGATTCTGCAGCTGCCGCTAGCTTGCTTTCTTCCTGCAGGCACCTTTGGAAGCCTTCCTATAAAACCTGGATCGAAAAGGGTCTCCCCAAAGCAACTGTTGACGGTTAAGACTAGATCTGTGGTGGGATCCCTTCCTCCATTGTCCTCTTCTAATTTTGCCCTGCTCCTTTCTTCCTAGAACTATCCTCTGTACATTAAGAGCATCCCAACGGAAAATGAGCTGAAGTTCCACTACACGGTTCACACATCCCTCGATGTTGTGGATGAGAAGATCTCGGCCATGGGAAAAGCACTGGTGGACCAGAGGGAGCTTTACCTGGGGCTGCTGTACCCAACAGAAGACTACAAAGTGTATCTTTGTGCTTGGGCAGCATGTTCTTGGGAAGGCCTTCCTGCAGCTCCTCAGTGCCATCTTTGCAGGAAAATAACAAAAGAGTTTTGTGACCCTTTGAAAACGCACATGGGGGGGGGAGCCTTTGTTATTTGCCGACAGTGGACGGATGCGCTTCCCCATCCCTGCCCTGTGGAACTCCTGTTTCCTGGGGGACTTAGTGGAGATGGGTTGTGTGTGAAGGTAGGATGAGGGAGTGGGTGGAGCGATGGTCTCAGGAGCTTCCCGGCATTTGCACTTTCCTTGACCAGCGGAGCAGATACGGCTACGTGACAAATTCCAAGGTGAAGTTTGTGATGGTGGTTGATTCATCCAATACTGCTCTTCGAGACAATGAAATCCGAAGCGTAAGTTTAAAATACTTGTTCTGCTTTTCCTCCTGCTGCATTGTTAAGTCAAAGTGGTTCCTGATGTGGGATCTCATTGCGAGTGGTTCCCTTTTCAGATGTTCAGGAAGCTGCACAATTTTTATACCGACGTCATGTGCAACCCCTTCTACAACCCCGGGGACCAAATCCAATCCAAGTGAGTAAACAGTCCCTTTGGATTTTTACAGGGTTCCTTGGTTCTGGCGAGTTCTTAGGAGAACCTTGCCTGCCTGTCATTCTAGCATTGGAAAAGCTGCTGCTGACTTGCCAGACTGGCCCTTCCCTTCCTTATGGTCTGTTTCGGATGGAAGGTGCCAAGGCAAGGAGTTGAGTGCTGTGCGAATTGGCACCCCAGTGATATGCCAGAAGCCAGCGCTTCGTATCATTACTTGGTTGGACTCAGAACCTTCTAATTTGGAGAGTTGCAGGTTACACAGGTGCTGTTCTGAACTCCGGACTGTGGCACCGGGAGGCCCATCAGTGGGGAGCTGCCTGCAGCATTAGGCAGCTGATCTGTTTGGAATGGGTCGCCTCTTCCCTGCAGCTTTTGATGTTTCTTGTCTTTGCTTTCCCAAGGGCCTTTGACAACATGGTGACATCCATGATGGTGCAAGTGTGTTGAAGTTGTTGTGTCGTTCACAAGCCACTTGGCCTACGAAGACTTGCTGTAGATACCCTGGTTTGATGTCCTCTATGTATGTTCTCTCCCCCACTCCCACCAACATGCTATATCAAATAAACTCCTTCTGTGAGCTAATCTGAAATCATTGTTCATCCAGGTGGAGCTGGGGTGTGCAGGACCTGTTCTGCAGGCAGTCACACTGCACTTTTAGCAGAACAGCCTAATGCTACACAAGAACAGACAGCATTGCCTTAGCAGATGGAATTTGAACCACTTCATGCCCATTTCTAGTAGAGACCAGAAGCAACCCTTTTAGCACAGTTCTCACTCTGTGTAGGAATGGTAGGTGAGCTTTAAGGGTACAGCGTACAGCGAATACTTTGTGGTTTTAGAGGATCCATTTATTTTGATTTAAAAAATCTTAACGTCTTACAAAACAGAGCTTATCACAAACGGCATCTCTATTCACAGGCACACATGTTTTGAATACAAAAACCCCAATGTCCTTCTGCTCCGCCTCAAAGTCTGCTGATTTCTCTTACTCATCAGGGAAGTTCTCCTGCCCAAGCCCCACGGAAACAGATGGGAGAAGTGCTCCTGAATCACTCCTCTTCATCTTTTTAGGCCTGGCATAGGACAGTCTCTCCATAGACAGTATTTAAAAAAAAATTAATCAGCACATTGCTTTTTTTTTAACTCTCCCTTTTCAAAAGACCGTGTTTTTTCATCCTGTAAAGGTAAAATGAAAAAATCCACAAGTATCTCCCATCCTGTAACAATGGTGCTTGCAAGAGAGAGTACTGGATAGGAAAACAGACCCACATCCCCATTTCTTTTCGATTGCTTTTTGGCTACCAGAAGAGGACTTGTAAGGAACAGTTGCTGAGAGGTTGTGAGATTAGACTATGCTATTCTGGTTAGATTGCAATTCACAAGAGAGGGGGCTGCTGTCCCTTGACGAACTCCACCGTCTCAACAGGTTTCAAGGTATGGCTGGATCTGGGAAGGTCGGTCCCAAGGGGGCAGAAACCTGCAGAACACTGTCATCGGATTCGTTTGGTGGTGGTGGTGGTGGTGGGGAGCCACATACTGTACTGTGATCAGAGATGTAGCCAATAAGCACCATGATAAAAACGTGGTCACATTTGTTGACATGAACTACTTTCTTTAAAGTTAGTTTAAAAAGAGGACGGAAGGGGGATGGGAGGATGGTGGTGGTGGTGGTGGTGGTGGGGAACCACATACTGTGATCAGAGATGTAGCCAATAAGCACCATGATAAAAACGTGGTCACATTTGTTGACATGAACTACTTTCTTTAAAGTTAGTTTAAAAAGAGGACGGAAGGGGGATGGGAGGAAAGAAAGCAAAACCTGCCAGGAGAAAACAGAGCGAACTATTCCTCCTTGATGGTTTTCTTTCCAGTTTCTTCTCAGCTGGCTTATCACCACCTAGGAAATCTCTCTAGCTATCTGGCCTGCATGGCCCTTTCCCAAGTCAGGGAGGGAATGGGATTTTAAAAGGCTTCGGTTAGAGACGTCAAGGTTACAAGGAAGTAGGCACAGAGGTACAACCTCTGCCTAGTGTTACCTGAATTTTTTAGCAAACATGGCCTTCATTTACCATCTCACATAACAAAAGAAGTAATTCTGCATCACAAGATGAAATCATTAGGGACTGGAGGCGATGCCCAAAGCGCCCAAGGGTGGGCGAAGGGCTGAGAGGCACCTCGGCATGACACACTTCAACTGGCATTAATTAGCAATCGTGTTTCTTTAAGAGGAAGCAGAGGCACTGGCCCGCAACCAGGTTTCTAATTTGTGACATGTAGACTTTTATCTCAATGGGGCAAGGATGGGGAGGAGTGAAAAGAAATGTTTGGGAGCAAAAAAAAATATGTTTGCAGCAGGCCCTTGTTTGTCTCCCTGTTTAAAAGCCGGATCAGGCATCATCTGAAGGAGGTAAATCCATGTGCAGGTTTAAATGTTGACGCGCCGAAACACTTCCGCCAGCACCTGCCTTGGCTGCTTCCTCCAAGCCACAGGCAGAACCAAATCCTGGATTGGTTGAGCTACAATGATCAACCGCTGGAGTCCACCGTGTGGTACAGAAGGCTTCACCGGGTGGGCTGTGGAGAGCGACAGGAAAGCCAGGGGCCAGAAGGGTTCTGATGTTCCTCCAGTGATTTAAGAACAGCTCCAAAACACAGCTCAGAAGAGTCAGTTTGGCAGCCTTAAACCAGTCCAGCCAGATTCTGGGGTCAATGCACGCTGTCCGTGGCCCTCCCCTGGAAACAAGCTGGAGCCGAGAGGCTCTCTCTCTCTCCCTCCAGGAGCGGCCTAACCGTTCAACATTTGCAAGCAGGAATATTTTGTAAGGGGCAGTGAAGGTGAACCAACTTCTCATTGGGTGGGTTTGGATTTTAGTCTTCTCTTCCTCATTCAGGCCTGGATCGTTTCTTGGGTCGGCTTGTTCTACTGCCTAGTAGGGCGTATACCAGGGAGACAGCCTGCCGTGACCCCTGGAGGAGACAAAAAAAAGAAACCACGGATTTGAGGTTTGCTGTAAGGTTGTGTGGTGCTCTTAATATCCAATTCCCCAGACATCATGCTGGGTTTTACTCTCATTTTTACGAGCACAACAGAATACCAAAGAGTCTTGTGACACCCTGAAAGTTAACTAGTTTTATCTGGCATAAAGTTTCCTGGAATAAAGCCCACTTCTTCAGATGCAGTGGCCTCCAGTCTGTGAAAACTTATTCCAGATAAAATTTGCTAGTGTTTCAGGAACTATAAGAATCTTGGCCGTTTCTTCAGCCAGGGGCCCATCCCTCCCATCACATGCTTTGGGCGTTTCTGGAACTGTGCAACCATTCTCAAATACTGCCCTCCAGATCTTCTGGACTTCAGCACCCAGACGCCCTTGCCAACAACGCCAGGAGCCAAAAGAGTGTCTAAAAGCTGATGCCCAGAACATTTCAAGGATTAAAGACTGAGAAATACCACAGTCTCTTTGTGATGCGCTTCACACACATATACACCTGCCTCTTCCAGACCCAAGGCAAATTCATTTCTGGGATGGATTCTGTGCTCACAGAGATCTGCACAAGCATGGACACATACCAGCTCTTGGATTCTGCTTTGTGCACGTGTGCAAGCACATACACACACACACAAACACAGAGAGAGAGAGAGAGAGAGAGAGAAGGTAAGTCTCTGCTTTACATGCAAAGCCAAGCATCGTTTCCTGCCAGTCTGGGGCAAGGCTGTCAGAAGGCGCACGGATGCTGAAGCGGGAAGGCCAACTAGAGGTGAGCAAAGGTAAAGACTGGCACCCAGGGACACGCTCCACCAGCTGCTCTCCCCCATGTGTCTCTGGACCACCAACACGACAGGCTCTCAGGCATGGTGCGCGTCGGGGCAACAACTCCCTGCTCGTTCCTCTCCCTTTTGATACGGAGAGAAAAGCCGCGGCCCATGGGCACTGCCAACGTGTCCGACTCTGTGTCTGCGTGCAGCCCGTAGGCCCCGGTGGCCGTGTAAGCGCCCAGGTGATGCTAAGCCAGGAAGACAACTGCACTGGGGGGGGGCAGGAAGGACAGCCCAGCCTCTGTGTGCTTCCAGCGACACATGGTGCACGGCACACATTTCCCAGAGTCCCCCAGGAGGACATCACAGCAGAAAGACGTCCGTCCACCCCGCTCCACCCCCACCCTAACCCTCCGCCTTTCTGTACATGAGCTCCAAGCCTTTTTCTAAATTAACCACCGTGGAAGAGTGTCAGCTTCTTTTGCACTCAGGAGGGCCCGGGTAGAGCTGGGAAGGGAAGATGTGACTGGATTGCCACTCCCAGCCTTCCCTTTAGTGATGCCGACTGGGACTGATGGGCCTTTGAGTCCACCAGCATCATCAGGCAGGCTGCTCACCTCTAGCTCCACAGAAACGTTTTCTCTGCACCCAAGAGACGTTGTGATGCCGGGATTATTTGAGTGTGTTTGGTGGATGGGGGAGAGAATCCTCAGAAGTGGTTTACCATCCCCTTCTTCTGGGGGCCAGGGGGCTGGGATGCCCCACGAAATGCCTTCCTCCCTTGATCTCACTCACCTGTAAACCCTCCCACGGGGCCTGGCAGGTGGCCCCCCACGAAAGCCAGCACGGCGGGGCTGAGCGCCTTGACCGTGGAAGTGACCCCGGGGACCGCCGCGGTCGGTGGAGCTGATGCCAGGCATGTTGGTCCTCTTTGGCAACACCTGCAGGAAAGCAAAAGGGGTCCAGGAAAACCAGCTGGTGCCACTTACGCCTTGCAAAGAGGCATGTTGGGAGCAGGAAGTGGGGGCAGAAGAACCCCTGAGATTGTTTATCGGTGTTTATCCTCCGGTTCCACATCAGCAAAATGGAATACTAGCTTGGAATGAGAGGCTCTGGGACAGCCTTCTTCAACCCAGTGCTACCCAAATGGACCTGGAATACAATTCCCATCATCCACAGCAATGGGGATAGACCTAGGGTGGAGGAGACGTCTGGACCAGTGAGCCTGTTTACACTACAAGTGTAACTTATTTGCCTACATCATTAGCTGTCAGTGGAAATTCCCCATTGGACCAGTTCCTTCAAGGCTGAGAAAGAGCCTCCCGGGGGTCCCAGAGGGAGCTTTCCTTTCCTCGCCTCCTGCCGTTTGCAAATCCGCCCGCTCTGCTCTGTGAGGGGGCGCCCACCTTGATGATGCGCCCTCTGAACCTGGTCTCATCCAGCCCCATGGCTGCCTTCACGGAGCTCCTGTCGGCAAACTCAATGTAGGCGTACCTACAACAGAACAGACGGTCAGGCTTCCTCAAGAGTAACCCTTCACCCATGAACACAAGAGCCCCCCCCCCACAACAAGGCACCCCCTGCTGCCTCTGAGCACTGGAACTCAAGCTGGTTCTTCAACAAGGCATCCCCTGCTGCCTCCGAGCACTGGAACTGAAGCTGGTTCTTCTTGGCTGAGCTTCCCAGCTTAGCTGATGCGCAAGACATTCAACAGGTTTTCCAGCGAGGCCTCTTCCCGGATCAGGGCCCGAAGCAGCTCCCGCCAAGGCCCAAACACTTACCCTTTGGGATGGCCAGAGAACTTATCGCAAAGGATGGTCACTCGATGGATCTGCCCACAGCCATTGAAGTGGGATTCTAGCTCTTCGGCCGTGCCACCATAATCCACCTGTCAAGATCACAGCCCCGTGTCCAAAACGTGGTCCCATCCTCCATGAGCGGCGCTCGCTGGCTCATGGCCGTTGCAAGCCATTCACGCTGCTTGTTCAGAGCATCTATATTGGGAAACCTGTCAGACTCTGAAATGCCTTGCCTCTTAGCCAGGGCTTGGAAAAGTTACTTTTCCCTAGACTCCTAGAGTTCCCCAGTTAGCACAACTCCCGCTGAACAATTCTGGAACTTGTAATTTTTAAAAAGTAACTCTCTCACCTCTCTCTGACTGAGTTCATTGGTCTTAATTTCTGGGACATTGGTGCTGAGCTTCACACATGACCACCAGAGACTGGCCATGGCTTTGACGGAAGGGCCAACTGTGGGAGTTTTTACAACCTCGCATGCTGGTCTGTGGCTTGTGTGGCCGGGAGGGACCTTTCTGAGCCGGGGTGACTGTCAATCTATCCAGGACCAACAAATCGTTCCCTCCTGCCTCTGAATTTAAAGTGACCCCCCCACCCCTCTGCTGAGCTCTCTTCCCTTCTCTTTAGTCAATTGGAAGTCAGTTAGTTTGTCTCTTCACAACACTAAGTAATGAAATATTTTTTATTCTCTACAAATGTCCTTGCCTCTTAGCCAGGGCTTGGAAAAGTTACTTTTCCCTAGACTCCTAGAGTTCCCCAGTTAGCACAACTCCCGCTGAACAATTCTGGAACTTGTAATTTTTAAAAAGTAACTCTCTCACCTCTCTCTGACTGAGTTCATTGGTCTTAATTTCTGGGACAAGGGGTGGCTGGCTGCTCAGCCAGGAGGGAAGGGGAAGTCAGAGCCAGGAAAATCTCAACGTGAGCCTCATCACACTTACATTCCCCACGTAGATGGAGCGCTGGTCAGCTTCCAGCTTTTCCTCAGTTGTGCCCGGTAAAGGGAGACCTGCGGAAAGGAGCAAAACATCTTCAGAGGTTGTGAGGATGTGAACTAATTAAGCTGTGTTGTGCTTTTTGGCCAGCTCAGGGGAGGTATTGCTTATGCTAAGGTTGCTTCAGGAACCCTGAGTTGGGGCGATTTTACTGGTTGCGCTGCCTGAGGATGATGGGGTTTGTAGTCTAACACAGCTGGAGGGCAGCAGCCTGGAGGAAGCCGTCTTAGTGCACCTGTTGCGGTTGGGTGGCATTCCTCTAAAGGTCATTTTAGAACCGGAAGAGCAGGACCAAGACCTGGAAGCCAGAAGGCCCCACTGTTCCTCAACTAAGAAAACCAGAAAGAGATGCTGGGCCACATCAGGCCTGGGTGAGGACAAGGTGAGGCAGCTAGAAAACCTTTCGCCTGGGCTTCCTGTTTTTAATCACTGCCACATGTAAAGGGAGCAGGTGACTTTTCCTAACTTAAACTTCCACAGCTCTGTTTTTCAGAAAGATGGGACCCCCCCGCCCCTGCCCCCCCCTCGGCTGGGCCAGCCATGCCCACCGGGGATCCTTCCGGGGTCTGATCTCAGGAGGAGGTTCCTCGCTTCTGCCTGCAGTTCCTGCAGCCACTCGTCTTCTTTCTCCATCTCTCGGACCTTCGCCTTGATGGCCTCCAGCTCCTCCACACCGCAAGGGGCAGAAAAGATAGAAAGGAAGGAAGGCAATTGATTGATTGATTGATTGATTGATTGACTGATTGACTGATTGACTGATTGACTGATTGATTGATTGATTGATTGATTGATTCATTCATTCATTCATTCATTCATTCACTCATTCATTCATTCACTCACTCATTGATGAGGCCCCAGAAGAGCCCACCAGCTTGGCTGGTTCAGTGTATTACATTATGGATTCCAACAAGTGACCACCTTTCCCTCTCTGGAGCCTTTTTAACATTTCTCCTCAGAAAAACAACCCTGTAAAGCAGGCCAGGTGGAAAGACCAAGCAACGTCTTCCCCTCCTCCCCCCGATTCCACCCTGCCCAGCCAAGACTCACAGGATCATCCACATGCCGAAGGTCCTCCTCGGGCTCTCCCTCCAGAGGACTCGGCTCCCTCTGGTCCCCCAGATGCTTCTGCCATGCCGATAGGTCAGCTACGTTCCAGGGAGAATCTGCCATGCCCAAAGGCAGAGGAGGGTCATGCCACCAGGATCCGGCCTCTGGGAAGTGGGGGCTTGAGGTGGGGGAGACACAAGCAGCACAGTTTAGGGTCAGGGGTGGGTGTTCCTGCTCTTGAGGATATAACCCCCTCCCCCCCTGCTCCAGACTAAAGGTACCTAGGAATCCAAAGCACTTTGCATATGCCCAGAGGCATACTTGTTCTAGGGAGCCTAGTTTGACTCAGTTGGGAAGAAGAAAGAAACAGGAGGCTGAAGGTTTTTTTTTTTTTAAATCTAACAAGATTAGTTACACTGGACAGCATTAAGATGCCAGACTCAAAAAGCAGCTCTTCCCACCTGCAGTTTGCAGACAAGCCAAGCCACAAACCTGCAAGGGACAGGTGGAAGAATTCTGCATTGCCCCCATTGGGACTCCCAAAAGTTACTCTTCCAGCCTGCAGTCTGAGAGTTTCAGAGGCTTGTAACCCAAAGCATATCCAAACTCTTCTCTTTCCTGCTATGCAGTAATAAGTCAACAAAGTGTTTGACTGTTTTTAATATAGGGTATTATTGCCTATTTTAATGGTTTTAATGTTTTTAAAAGTTTTAATATTGTTGCAAGTGCTCAGAGACCACTGGTAATGGTGCAGCTAAAAATCTTGTAAATAAATAAATAAAGTGTCTTGTGAAGCCTCTACAGACTAGCAAGTTTTATTTGGAAGGCTGTCTGTCTTTAAGGCATTACAGTATTCTAATCAGTCTCCCTCCAACAGACAGACAGACACACACAGGCAGCTACTCTTCTGGAGACAATAATCAACCAAGTAATTAATGGTTTGCTAACTTCTTAGGGCACCCCTGATTAGCTACCCAAGACAGCTGCCTGGTGCATTGAGGATGCCTGTTTTTGTTTAAAAGGCATGTACCGATAGCACTGAAAAGTGTGTTTGGTTTTCTGGAAGGAGGGGAAGCCCTCAGATGCAGAAAAGTTTGAGGCAGACAAAACAAATTTAGAAAGTATGTGTCATGGGGATGTATTGTGTTTTAAAACACACCGTTTGCTACATGTTTTAAGCAACACTTACCTATTTGCAATGCCTTTTATAATCTGCTCTGCCTAAGGAATGATTGCATTCTTCAAAATATATTGGGTATTTGAAACATTGTTGTTGTTTAGTCGTGTCCGACTCTTTGTGACCATAATAAATACTAAAAACATAATAAAGTGTGAAGACTGGCAAATCCGTCTGCCCTGAATTTTGGGGACTCTAAATTCTCTGCACTAACACTGGAACGTGCCTGAAGAAGTGAGCATTGATCCATGAAAGCTAGCAGAGGGTGTGGTAATTTTTAGTGGTCTATAAAAGCATCACTGACTCCTGTGTTATATCATAGACGTTGATGCTTTAAGAGCTTTTGTTTCTCTCCTGACTTTTTCTTTTTCCATATGCTGCTCACTTGGCCCCCTCTGACCGATTTTTGCCCTTTTCTTTCCCTTGAATGAAGAACGGTGCCGTTCAGAATGACCCGATGAAATGAGGGCTGCCATCCGTGAGAAGTGTTTATGCCGTAATAAGCGGCAGCGCCTGTGGGTGGGTCTCGGTTGCTTTCCTACAGGCGGAAGAGCAAGAGAACCTCTGCACCTTTTTTTAACACAAGAGTTTTAAAAAGTGACTTTTCTGTACCATGGATCCCAGAATCCCCCAAACCCAGTGACCATGGAGTTGTGGTCCAAAAAGGCAACCTTTGTTTAGCCCCCCACCCCAGAGAAAGAATTCTGGGCACCCGTTAGGACAAAAAGGAGTCAGGGGCTGAACCCAGCAGTTGCAGACACACCCTCCGCTCAAGGTGGAGGCTCACACCTTACCTTGCCCCAAGTCCAAACATTGCTCCTCAGTTGCGTGCGCGTGCACACACCTGTACCCTCTGCTTGCAAAGCCACTCCTGCCCTGCGGCCTCCTGGGAAAGGCTGGGAGGATGCTGGGCCAGCTGGGAAAAGGCAGCAGCCACCCAGAGGGAGGGGATTCCTTCGCCTCCCCCCAGGTGCACCGTTTGGCACATCAGCAGCCCATCAGAGGCAGAGGCCAACCCTGCAGGGGTGGAGCAGGATGACCCCTTCCTAGGCAAAGTTCTGGGTGGAAGGGCGGGGGATTGGGCCCCTGGCTCAGCGGGAGAACTCATGCTTTCGATCCCTGGAGCGTCCAGCTTAGGGGGCTTGTCTGGGAAGGAGTGCAGACGAAAGAAGCTATCGATCCGCGATGCCGCAGCAAAATGCAGGAGGTGTTGCTCTGAGTGGGGTGGGGGGAGGGCTTGTCCCCTGGGGTCCCCCTCCCAGAGCATCCCGTGGACACCCAAACCAGGGGTACTGATAGGAAGAGTAAGAGGGGAAATAAGTTGGCACAGGACCGTGACTTCATCTCTCCAACTCAAGAGGAGCACCGACACCACCCTAGGCAGGGCTCCTTTCTCTAGAGAAGGGCCAGTAGCTAAGGGCGGGGGATTGGGCCCCTGGCTCAGCAGGAGAACTCATGCTTTCTATCCCTGGAGCGTCCAGCTTGGGGGGCTTGTCTGGGAAGGAGCGCAGATGAAAGAAGCTGTCGATCCGCGATGCCGCAGCAAAATGCAGGAGGTGTTGCTCTGAGTGGGGTGGGGGGAGGGCTTGTCCCCTGGGGTCCCCCTCCCAGAGCATCCCGTGGACACCCAAACCAGGGGTACTGATAGGAAGAGTAAGAGGGGAAATAAGTTGGCACAGGACCGTGACTTCATCTCTCCAACTCAAGAGGAGCACCGACACCACCCTAGGCAGGGCTCCTTTCTCTAGAGAAGGGCCGTTAGCTTAGTGGGGGAGCCCCTGCTTCACATGCAG